CCACACAGGTACAGGTATAGGCACAGGTACAGGTATAGGTACAAGTACAGGTACAGGTATAGGTACAGGTACGGGCACAGGTACAGGTACAGGCACGGGTACAGGTATAGGTACAGGCACAGGTACAGGTATAGGTACAGGCACAGGTACAGGTATACATATAAGTATAGGTACAAGTAAATATTTGCATTAATTATGAAGAGAAAATTCAGATACAGAAGTAAACTAAGTATTTACTAATAAACCTCTTATCTATCTATTTATTTATCTATCTCTTCAATTATTTCGTAAGACTGATTCGTATTATTAATATTCTCTAACAACACACACACACACACATCACACGCACGCACGCACGCACACACACACACACACCACATCACACGCACGCACACACACCACACGCACGCACACGCACACACACACACAAACTCTTAATGTATACTTTAATATCGTCATTTATACAGTTCAAGTCATTTTAAAACAAATAAATAATGATAAGAGTTACTGATTATAATTCTATTCAATTAAAACCAAAACTGATAAAATTATTTAGGTTTTTACAGCATTTTTTAATGAGCTCTAAGACGGCTAAACTCCAACACCTTCCCGTCCATTTAAATAATTTTCCATTACCGTAATTTCCCATCACTGATTATTTATACGAACAAGATCAACTAATTTACTCATTAACGATAATATAATAATCATTAGCTTTATTAATGATGTTATTTATAAATATATCAACAACATACCTGTCTCACATCTTCATGCTGTGACTAACGTGTTCTATGATAATATTAAGCCCAGTAAATATCCTCTGTAAATTAACTCATTTCTCTTCTCCAATAACACTTTACTTGTATATAACTACTTCATATACTCGATGATGATACTCCTGTTTCTATATCACCGTTACTGTTAATGTTATTTAGATTTAAACACAATAAACGCACAGAAATAATGAACACTGTTTAACGTCATGCAGTCGGAGGCGTCATTGAGGTCTGAGGCTTGGAGCGTCCGTCACCTTCCCGCCCTTGTTCCTGATTGGTCATTACTAACCCTAAATAGCATCTGATTGGTTTATGCCAATAATAATAATAATAATAATAATAATAATAATAATAATAATAATAATAATAATAATAATAATAATAATAATAATAATAATAATAATAATAATAATAATAATAACGGAAGCTCAACTGATTGAACGGAACCGCCAAGCCTCAGATCCAGAGTTGCCAACTTAGCGACTTTGTAGCTAGATCTAGAGCTTTTTGTTTTTTCTAGCGACATTTTAGAGCGATTTGCGACTTGTCTCAACTCTAGAGATATCCACAGAAATCTAGCGACTTTCTGGATACTTTTGGACTGTCCATGAAAACTCAGTTTTCCTAATTTCGAGCCATAATATATAGCAACGGGTTACAGGGACAATAAATAATAAGAAAAGTTTAATACATTTGAACGGGTCGTGGTACAGAAGGAGGGACACTTCTATTTCCTGATCACTTGATGTCAGCCCGTCCATGGCTAATGTTGCCGTGTCGTCATTTATTTGTCTGTTACCTTCGCCTTTGTAGCACCTGTAACTTACCTTTTGTCAGATATGCAACATGAATTTCACTAATACGCTAAATTTTAAAGAATATTAGCAAAACATCTTATAGAATTAATTCTATCAAGCCTGCGTGGTTCCAAACTTGTCATCCGCGTCCACCATGGGTGACCCATAGACTCCATACAGTTGCCCAGACACTGTTCACCCGCTTTGCCAAAACCATCAAGAAAGTTTCCGCTTGTTTGCATGCTGTTTATTAATTTGAACCCTTCATAGTCCCAATAGAAGATGGGTAAGCCACAGTATTCGCAGCGATTTAGGAAGGAAGCTCAGAGATGACAGATACAAAATTGGCTTCTGGAGGTGCCAGGAGATAATAAAAAGGATTTCGTAAATTTTGCAAGTGTACTTTGTCTGCCAAGTTGTGCGACATTGAAAACACAAAACACTAAAACACAAGAAAGCAGAAGAGCCGTTTAGTGCAAAGACAGACAATTTTACCATTTAAGAAACTTGGTGAAGCAAAAAGTGGAGGAACTCTGGCCATGTTTGTAGCTGAACATTGTTCTATTCGTGTGGTAGAACACTTAAGTGAAGTGTAAAGTATGTTTTAGTGAGGAAGGCAGGCAGTGAACTCAAGTTAAAAAGATCAAGTGTTCTGGGATAATATGCAATATTCTTGCCACATTTCACAGAAAATCTGAAAAATGATATTTTTACAAAATGCATTTTATTTATACTCCGTCCATTATAGTCGGCATTATGAAAATATTATTTGCATCAAATTACTGAAGGGGGGGAATAATAGCTAGCGACTTTCCATGGAAGATTTAGCGACATTTAGCTACTTTTAGGTACCAGCCTAGCGACATTTGAAAATCCGAGTTGGCAACCCTGCTCAGATCTCAGTGACGCTTCCGACTGCGAGATGTTAAATAGTGTTCATTATTTCTGTGCGTTTATTGTGTTTATATCTCTGTAACATTAACAGTAGCGGTGATATAGAAACACGAGTGTCATCATCGAGTATATGAAGTAGTTATATACAAGTAAAGTGTTGGAGAAAGAGAAATGAAGAAATGAGTTAATTTACAGAGGATATTTACTGGGCTTAAAATCATCATAGAACACGTTAGTCACAGCATGAAGATGTGAGACAGGTATGTTGTTGATATATTTATAAATAACATCAATAATAAAGCTAATGATTATTATATTATCGTTAATGAGTAAATTAGTTGATCTTGTGCGTATAAATAATAAGTGATGGGAAATTACGGTAATGGAAAATTATTTAAATGGACGGGAAGGTGTTGGAGTTTAGCCGTCTTAGAGCTCATTAAAAAATGCTGTAAAAACCTAAATAATTTTATCAGTTTTGGTTTTAGTTTAATAGAATTATAATGGGTGACTCTAATCATTATATATTTGGTCTAACATGATCGTTGAACTGCATAAATGACGATATTAAAGTATACATTGTCAGTCATTTGTGTGTGTGTGTGTGAACGTGGCAGAGAACATGGAAATTAATTTATTTGTGTATGAAGTAATTAATTTTATGTACGAAAATTAGCAGTGACGAATGGGAAGTAAATAGATCAGCCATGTTGGTTGACTGGGGGTTTAAACCATCATAAAAAACGGAGCCGTAACATCCGGGACTTGTGGATTATGTATAAAATTTAAGAATGAGATAATGAACTTGTGTTATGAGCGAGAATCAATGACGAAGAGGTTAGATAACGTAATTTCATGTTGATATAAAAAGATTAGTGAAGACAACGGATTAGGGGAGGGGGGTTAATAATCTTTATCCTATTCACTACTAATCATCACACGTTAGCTGCTTGGGTGATCGGTCACGTTTCTGTTACACACTATTAGCAAGTATTAGGCACGTAAATAGCTCCTGAATGTATCTGTACCTGCTCCAGTGTTGACTGCTCACACTCGATGCGTAATTAAACAAAAATGACTACGTTACACCTGTCGGTTTTTTTTCCATGAGTTATGTAATGCTTCAGGTGAACAGTAGCATAGAAATGATTACAGAATAGCATGTAAGAACACAACCGAACGTTAACGAAGATAATACTTAACGTGTTAGCAACCGTCTATTGGTAGTTCAAATGAGTGACTTGGTATGGTTATTCGTTGGTGTGTGTGGGTGGTTAGTGAGGATGGAGAAGAAGACGAAGAAGAAGAAAAAGATGAAGATAAAGATGAAGAAGAAGTTGAATAAAAAGAAGTAGAGCAAGAAGAATAAGAAAAGGAAGAAGAAAAAGAAGAAGCAGAAGTAAAAGAAGATGAAGAAGAAGAAAGAAGATACGTGAATTGAATGGTTTATGTGTGAAGTTAGGGAAGGTGAGAGAGTGAGAGTGAGAGAGGATCTTAGGTGATTGGTTTAAGGGTAAAGTTTGCCCCAGTTGTTATAAGTTACGTCTCGGCGGCCACGATGGAGGAGGAGTGACTTATCTGGAGGTAGAGGACCCCAGTCACTCATTCTTGTTGGAGGGAGAGTGAGTGACCGATCTACACGATTTTCTCGACACCCCGTCCCCCTCCCCACAAAAATCCATGAAACGCACAAGCACATTTTTTTAAATTTTTGTACATCACGATTTATAGAAAAAAATAATTAAAATCCCCAAAACAATATAAAACAGGTATTAAAAGTTACTATAAAAGAGTCATTAAACATCATTATAAGTGTTTTTGTTATGAGGTCACCGGGTTAATTACACAGGTGAGGAGGTTTTCATGAAGGTAGATGCTGGGGAAACACCTTTATCACCTGTTCATCTCTTTTTACCTGTTAGTTTTAATGACTAGGGGATTATGTTAGGTTACACCTTACAGTTCTTAAAGTGGAGTTAAGTTATCGTACTCAAGGGGTTATTTTTATCTTAATTGAGTACGAAAACTTAACCCCTTGAGTACAATGTCTTAATCACTAGAGTACGATGCCAAACCATTAGAATAACACAGACTATCCCCTTGGGTACAATGCTATGGTACTCAAGAGAATCAAGTCATCCTACTCAAGCTCACGGACACACTAGGGAGACGCTAATGCATGGTTTTGTTTTACAGGTGTTGGGCGCTTGTCATCAGCGAAGAGAGGAGAGGACAAAAATGACGCCAAAATTAATTGAAAAACAAACTCGGTCAATATATAAGGGACATGTGGTGGCAGTGTTGTCAGTGAGGGAAGGGTTGTTGAGAGTGCACGACGAGGCAGTTTATTTCACCTTAAATCTAACCTAACCTAACCTAACAACCTAACCTAACCTAACCTAACCTATTTAAATCATATTAATATCTTTGTGTATAAATAATTTTCATTTTTCTCTTAACACAATTAATTATTTATATATCTCAATGATCATTATGACTTAATATCAATAATAATTTCCATATTTCAGGCTTAAATACGTAAAAAAACAAACAAATGTTCCCTGATAAGAGAACTCGTATATAAGAAAAACTACCGCAGGAACCTTTTGATAAATGGTAATGACTTGATATAAAAGGTGACTATGATTGTGTGATGATTTTGGTGTTAAGAAAATTATATAATTGTATCCCTCAGAAAGAAAACGTGATAAAGAAAATGGAGAGAAAATGGAGTGTGTTGGTGGTGTTTTAACATGAGACAAGTATACCATCTGTGTTTTTTATCTATATGTAAGTTTGTCTTGGTATGGAATCGTAGAGGAGGAGGAAGAACGTGAGTGTATTAACAGTGATATTTATTTGAACAGTGATAAAGTGAACAGTGATAATATAGTGTATTGACAGTGATACCATGAGTTGAGAGTGATAACGTTACAGTAACAGTGATAAAGTGAACAGTGATAATATAGTGTATTGACAGTGATACCATGGTGAGTTGAGAGTGATAACGTTACAGTAACAGTGATAAAGTGAACAGTGATAATATAGTGTATTGACAGTGATACCATGGTGAGTTGAGAGTGATAACGTGACAGTAACAGTGACAAGTGAACAGTGATAATATGGCGAACTAACAACAGTAACTGGAGAACTGTGCTGTGAACGGTGACGAGGGCTACAATGGCGCACCTAACACACACCCACCAGGAAACCCGAGGGTGACCGAGAACAATAGTCTCTCTTACACCCACCAGGGGGACGACACACACAGAGTCTTTCCCTACACCCAAAGCTTCCCTGGGTGGGGAGGTTTCCTCGTAGGAGTCTTGTGTAGGTGTAGGTGGTGTCAAGGAGCCTCTTCACCTATACATCTTCACCCTTATCGACAAAGACTCTCCTCCCCAACACCTGCAGGCGGTGAAGGAGGGCGACCCGTGTGGTAGAACTGCGGGTGGCGTCGAGGAGCGGCCCTCACCACCGCCACACAAAAGCTCTAGACTACACTAAGGCAGATGGCATCCCCGCCCAGAATGAAGCTCAGCACGGGGAAGCTTCCTGTGTTCCGGAGCAATAGCGACTCTCAGAGGAGCGTCGGTAAACAGAGCTTCAGGAACTTCTCCCTCAAGTGTCGACGGATGGCATGGGACGAGGTGAGTACATTACAGTGCTTGTTGTTTTGATTTTATTCTGGGAACGAGACAAAAGGAGTCGTGTTTATAATGCCACCTTCCTCCTCCTACTTCTTCCTCCTCCTCCGCTTCCTCCTTCTCATCCTCCTCCTCGACCTCGTCCTCCTTCTCCTCTTTCTCTTGAGGGATAACATCTCAGGAACCCTCACTTAAAGTACACACCATTATGGAGGGTGTTGCTGTATGGACAAGTAATACAAACCTTCTTCCTGGTAGCTCCCTCTCTCTCTCATTCTCTCCCCTGTGTAAATTAGATCACCCGAGGGAACGGTAAATACATCCTTTTGTCTTGACTGTCACACATAGGATTGATATCTTTGAGAGACTGTGAATTATTAGTGGTGTTTTTTAGTTTGTTTTTATCAAGATCCCGTGGCTCGAGAAAGGACAATTATCTGTGGGAGTTGTAATTAAGTTTGTTATGGGTTTCGTCTGAATTGTTAAGAAATAAGTTGAAGTCTGCACCGTGGGGAACCTGTCACTGTGGGGTGTAATGTTATTTGTCACCTGTTGAAACGTTTGCCAGATGTGTCGTGTAAAAACGTTTGTGTGTTGAGTAAACGTCACGCGAAGGATGTAGTTCAAACGTTAAACTTTATCATCGTATTCAAACACCAGTCATTAATTATTCCTCAGGTCCAAAGAGTAAAGACGCGTTTTTTTTTCTCACTAAGACCCAGTGGACGAAATGAGATCATTAAAGCCATAATTACTGCATGATATGACTCGATGATTCACTCACCTGTGATCCTACCACTACCACCACACACCACCACCTCCCACCACCACCACACACCACTACCCTCCCACCACCACCACACACCACCCCCTCCCCCCACCACCACACACCACCACCCCACCACCACCACACCACCACCCCACCACCACCACCCACCACCACCCTCCCACCATCACCACACCACCACCCCCCACCACCACACACCACCACCCCACCACCACCACACACCACCACCCACCACCACACACACCACCACCCCACCACCACCACACACCACCACCCTCCCACCACCACACACCACCACCCTCCCACCACCACCACCACACACCACCCCCACCACCACCACACACCACTACCCTCCCACCACCACCACACACCACCACCCCCTCCCCACCACCACCCACACACCCACTACCCCTCCCCACCACCACCACACACCACCACCCCTCCCACCACCACCACACACCACTACCCTCCCACCACACACCACACACCACCACCCCCACCACACACCACACACCACCACTCCCACCACACACCACTCACCCTCCCACCACCACCACCACACCACTACCCCTCCCACCACACACACCCTCCCACCACACACCACACACCACTACCCTCCCACCACCACCATACACCACTCCACCCCTCCCACCATCACCACACACCACTACCCTCCCACCACACACCACACACCACCACCCCTCCCACCATCACCACACACCACTACCCCTCCCACCACCACCACACCACTACCCTCCCCACACCACCACACACCACTACCCACCACCACCACACACCACTACTCCCACCACCACCACACACCACCACCCTCCCACCACACACCACACACCACCACCCCACCACCACCACACACACCACCACCCTCCCACCACCACCACACCACTACTCCCCACCACCACACACCACCACCCTCCCACCACCACCACACACCACTACCCCACCCCACACCACACACACCACTACCCCTCCCCACCACCACCACCACACACCACTACTCCCACCACATCACCACACACCACTACACCCTCCCACCACCACCACACACCACTACCCTCCCCACCACCACCACACACCACCACCCTCCCACCACCACCACACACCACACCCTCCACCACACACCACACACCACTACCCTCCCACCACACCACACACCACTACTCCCCTCCCCACCACACACACCACCACCCTCCCACCACCACCATACACCACCACCCCACCACACACCACACCACACCACCCTCCCACCATCACCACACACCACCACTCCCTCCCACCACCACACACCACTACCCCTCCCACCACCACCACACACACTACCCTCCCCACCACCACCACCACACACCACTACCCCCTCCCACCACCACCACACACCACTACCCGTCCCACCACACACCACCACACCACTACCCCTCCCCACCACCACACCACACACCACCACCCCTCCCACACCACCACACACCACCACCCCACCACCACCACACACCACCACCCCACCCACCACCACACCCACTACCCCTCCCCACCACACACCACACACCACCACCCTCCCACCACCACCACCACACACCACCACCCTCCCACCATCACCACACACCACTACCCTCCCACCACCACCACACACCACCACCCTCCCACCACCACCACCACACACCACTACCCCTCCCACCATCACCACACACCACTACCCCTCCCACCACCACCACACACCACCACCCCTCCCACCACCACCACACACCACTACCCTCCCACCACCACCACACACCACTACCCCCCCTCCCCACCACACACCACACACCACCACCCTCCCACCACCACACACCACTACCCCCTCCCCACCACCACCACACCACCACCCCTCCCCACCACCACCACACACCACCACCCCCACCACACACCACACACCACCACCCCTCCCACCACCACCACACACCACTACCCTCCCACCACCACCACACACCACCACCCCCTCCCACCACACACCACACACCACCACCCCTCCCACCATCACCACCACACACCACTCCTCCCACCATCACCACACACCACCACCTCCCACCACCACCACACACCACTACCCTCCCACCACCACCACACACCACTACCCTCCCACCACCACCACACACCACCATCCCTCCCCACCACCACCACACACCACCACCCGTCCCACCACACCACACACCACCACCCTCCCACCACCACCACACCACTACCCCTCCACCACCACCACACACCACCACTCCCCACCACCCACACACCACCACCCCACCACCACACACCACCACCCCCCACCACCACCACACACCACCACCCCTCCCCACCACCACCACACACACACCACTACCCTCCCACCACACACCACACACCACTACCCCTCCCACCATCACCACACCACTACCCCACCATCACCACACACCACCACCTCTCCCACCACCACACACCACCACCTCCCACCACCACCACACACCACTCCACCCTCCCACCACCACCACACACCACCACTCCCACCACCACCACACACCACCACCCCCCACCACCACCACACACCACCCCACCCCCACCACCACCACACACACCACCACCCCACCACCACCACACACACCACTCACCCCTCCCACCACCACCACACACCACCACCCTCCCACCACACCACACACCACCACCCCACCACCACACACCACCACCCCCTCCCACCATCACCACACACCACCACCCTCCCACCACCACCACACACCACTACCCTCCCACCACCACCACACACCACTACCCTCCCACCACCACCACACACCACTACCCTCCCACCATCACCACACACCACTACCCCTCCCACCACACACACCACAACCCCACCACACCACACCACCACCCCTCCCACCACCACCACACACCACCACCCCCTCCCACCACACCACACACCACCACCCTCCCCACCACACACCACAACCCCCTCCCACCACCACCACACACCACTACCCCTCCCACCATCACCCACACACCACCACCCTCCCACCACACACCACAACCCCTCCCACCACCACCACACACCACTACCCTCCCACCACACACAACCCCTCCCCCACCACTACCCCTCCCACCACACCACACACACCCTCCCACCACCACACACCACTACCCTCCCACCACCACCCTCCCACCACCACACCCTCCCACCACCACCACACACTACCCCTCCCACCACCACACTACCCCCTCCCCCACCCACCCACACTACCCCTCCCACCCACCACCCCTCCCACCACCCTACCCCTCCCACCCACCACACACCACTACCCCTCCCACCACACCCACCCCCTCCCCACCACCACCACCTCCCACCCACCACCACACCTCCCACCACCACACCACTACCCCTCCCACCCACCCCACCCCTCCCCCACCACACCATTAGGCTTCTCTCTCTTTTATTTTATTATTTTTTACCTACCCACCATTTTAGAATCCTAATCTTCCTTGAGGATGTCTCTTGGGGGCTACAGGCTGCAGGCTGCTACTCCGACCTTCTTCCTTTGAAACCCTAGACACAGTTATAGGTAGTCTCTTCCTCTCACCCCTAAGATCTAGCCACGTGTCAAAGATCTGGCCAGGTGTTTGAAGTTCTGGCCACGTGTTTGAAGTTCTGGCCAGGTGTTTGAAGTTCTGGCCAGGTGTTTGAAGTTCTGGCCAGGTGTTTGAAGATCTGGCCACTGTTCAACCAATGTTTATTTACATATGTCTTGTTTGTGTTACCTGTTGTATTGTGGTGATTGTCTCTTATCTGTCTATAACTTCTTAATTAGCCATCTATCTTTTATATATGTATGCGTATGTATGCATGTATGTATATGTATGTATGTATGTATTTGTGTATATATGTATGACCCCGTATCTGTGTATCTCGATGCTACCGTCCAACCTGTATCTTTTTTTGTCGTATATATATACAGGAAACAGCTCACAGGGGATTGGTCGCAGGGAGGGAAATAAGTTAAGAGAGTAGGAAGGGGGAAAACTTGATAAAGATTAGGGAATAAGGGAAGGGTGAGAGAGAGAGAGAGAGAGAGAGAGAGACTGGTTCACTGGTCCAGATATAACTGTGGTTCCATGGCCCCCTTGTACTGTACCATTTCCGGCCGTTTTAAGTTGTGGTGTTTAGTGTGTTTGTGTGTTTGAGGGGAGAGGCGTGGTGGATGACAGGGGG